TCTTTATAAAAATTATTTGTATTTTCACCCTAGGAGATCCATTCTTGAATTTCACTTTGCCAAAGAATTAAAAGTTTATTAAATATGTCTAGAGTGAGTTATCTATTGAGTAAAATGTTTTAACTAATAAATTTTTCAGTTCTGAAAATTAAGCAGCATTACAGAAAAAGCATGAATATTATTTGTTTAATTTATAATGTTTAATTTACATTGCTGTTGTTTAGGTCCACACCTAATGGTACTCAGGGATTACTGCTGGCTCTCTGCTCAGGGATGACTCCTGGCAGGCACAGTTGGTGCTGGGGATAGAACCTGGGTTGATGTAAGTAGGTAAGCACCTACTTGCTGTACCATCTCTCCAGGAGGAATTCTAAAATACTGCATATACTTCTACATATCCTGAAGAGATTAAAAAACAATTCCTTTAAAAATTATCTACTCACCTATACTATAGTCTTGCATGAGAATTTGTGGAAGAAAGCCAAAAAAATTGCCCAGAGTGATCAAAATGTATTTAAGAAGTTAAATACTATGTAACTTCAGGAAACTAGTTTGTCTAATGACTCCTGTATTATCAGATTCCCAAGATAAATTTCATAATTTTCACATGTTGGGCTGATTTTATATTTCTAACGATCACGGTCACGATCACAATCATCCTGCTGTTCGTCAATTGCCTCGAGCAGGCACCAGTAACGTCTCCTTCATCCTAGTCCTGAGATTTTAAAAAGTGCCACGTTCAAGGCTCTTTCAGGGTTAGGAGAATGAGAACCCTGAGAATCATTGTTACTGGTATTTGGCATATTGGGTACGCCGTGGGGAGTTTGCCAGACTTTGCCATGCGGGCAGGCTGCACTCAGTAGCCTGCCAGGTTGTTGAAAGCAGGAATGAGATAATAAGGTGTCGTGCTTCCGGGAGCTGGGTTTTATATCTCTGGGTCTTGGACGTTGATGGGATTACACATCACTGGGGGGCAGTTGATAGGTGTGACCCCCGCCTACTGGAAGATGGAGGATGCGCAAACCCCGATCTGAGCAGGCTTGGAGATCTCAGCCCCGGGACCTGCATGCCTTTGTTCCTCTGCCGGTACAAACAATTTTGTATTTCTAACAATACACAAAAAAGACAATATAGGGTAGAAAATTAAAAAAAACTCACTGACATCAATTTTAAACTAACTGCATTTTTCACCTTGTAAAATTTTCCTTACAGAAAGAAATTGAAAAGTATCCCTTGAGCCTGTAATGCACAGATATGTAGGTCAAGTTTGTCATTTATCTACCACTTTCAGACAATGAAACAAGTACAGGGAAACTCTGCCCACAGAATTGAGAACAGGGGTGAGTTAGATTTCTTGGCAGGTGAAAAGATACCAAAACTACTGGGATGATGCCATTTTCAGTCACACAATGAAAAGTGCTTGCAGAGAACTGACTGAGCCACATTGAAGAAAGCAGAAGGAGTCAAGGGAATTAGGCACCTCTACTTACTGCCTCCTGAAAACCAATGCAAACACTCCTGAGGGCACACCTGAACAGTAAAAAACCACTATAGCTGTGCGCGTGACCACAAACCCTGCACAGCTGCTCAGACAGTACCACGCCACACCCCAGCTTTCTGTCCTCCATCTGGAAATCTCTGAGAAGTCCAACAACTGCTCTTGTGAAAAGGCTCAAAACAGGCAACTTCTGTCTCCTTCTTAGGAAACATCCATTTCAGAGTTTTATTTTCTTGCCAGGATGAAACCATCATCTGCAGGGAACGGGTCCACATGATAGCATAGTGGGTAGGGCACTTGCCTGGCATGCAGCTGGCACGGTTTTGATCACCATCATACCATCTAGTCCCCAGAGCACCACCAGGAGTGACTCCTGGGCAAAGAGCCAGGAGTAAGCCCTGAGCACTGCTGGTTGTTGCCCCCAAATAAAAAACAAGCAATAATGCGGGGAACAATTTGAATTTCTTTAAAATGCCACTTAGCTTAAAGGATTTGTTATAATCCATTTAATATCAACTTCTTAATGTCAATTTTTAAACAGTGGCATTATCCATTCATTGTTCTGTATCAGTAACTAAGAGTGCAATGAACACTTAACGCCTTACTAGAATAGAAATGAGATTTTAAGGGACAGAGTATGAAAAAAAAGCCCTCTTTGATAAAATAACAGAAATTCTGATTCAAAATGGACATGACTGTATTCCTCCACCCTTCTCGAAGAAACGGCAAGCTACCGAGAGTATCTCGCCCGCACGGTAAAGCCTGGGAAATTATCTGTGACGTATTCGATATGCCAAACACAGTAACAAGAAGTCTCACAATTTGTTGTGAGACATTACTGGTGCCCACTTGAGCAAATCTATGAACAATGGGAGGACAGTGCTACAGTGCAGTACTGTCACCAAAATGACAAAGAAGACTTTCTCAGGCCTGAGGGGTTTTTCTCCTCATTTCTGGGGGCCAGAACAGTTGTGCAGCAGGTAGGATGCTTGCCTTGCACACAGCAAACCTGGGTTTGATACCCGGTACCAGTTACATTCCCCTTAGGACCACCAAGAGTAACTCCAGAGTTAGAGTCAGGAGTACAAGGTTCAGAGCCCTAAGAATCACTGGCTGTGGCCCCAAAATCAAAACAAAGAAATTTGAGGATCTGGAGCAATACTAGAGTGGGTCAGTGTGTTTGCCTTACAAGCAGCCAATCCAGTTAGATTGCTGACATCCCATACAATCCCCCAAAGTACCACCAGAGCCAGGAGTTACCCCTGAGCATGGCCCAAATAAGCCCACCTCCCTCAAGAATCTTTCTGGGCCAGAGGGAGAGAATGGCAGATAGTACACTAGCCTTCCATACGGTCGACCTGGATTTGATGCTGGGTATCCCATCTGGTCCATCAAGCACCAGCAGGAGTGATCACCTGAGTGGAAAATTAGGACTAAATCCTGAACATTGCTGGGTGTGAACCAAAAACAAAACAAATCACAACAAAGAGTTTTCCTCCTCATTTCAAATTAGACAGGAGCACAGGTGTTAAAGAAATCCAGGGTGAGATTCTACCAGAGACCATGCTATAGACACTTCTGCAGAGAAATTATGTCAACAGTCCATAAGCACAAACAACAAATAGCAGCTGAAGCAGAAACCATCTTTAAAAAAATTAGCTTACCACTTAGTAAGCCCATGTTTTTCACTTGTATCTAGCTAGACAAGGTGTGAAGTATTTCTGGCCCATGGGTCATATAAGGGCCCCAAAATGATGGTCTGACCCTGGTGCTCGATGGAATAATGACAGATATACTTCTTATCAAGTGTCCACAGACAGTGTTGCCTATACTATATAGCTCCTGATAAATGCCCAAAAAGCCCTTAGGAGAAGAAAGTTTTCCCAGCCCTAATAGACAATTGCAAAATTAAAACAACACTTCATAAATTCCCTAGTGTTCCTGGTAAACAGTAGCATGCAAAGTCCTCTGCTATGATGGTTGTTACATTCTGTACACACATATACACACACACACAGATATGCTTTGGCCATCCAGCAGCAATAAACCAACATGTAAATGAGGATTTAAATCTATATTCAAGTCACAAACATCAAGAGGCAGTGGTAATCTCAAAAAAATTAGAAAACAAGTTAGATTAAAATCTATAAATAAAAGACTTTAAATTTTGAAAAGGTAGGTTTTCAGTTAAGACTATGAAATCACCTAATTATAATTAGTGAAAATATGACAGCTCTTAACAGTCTTACCTTTTTTTTTTTGCTTTTGGGGGTCATACCCAACGATGCGCAGGGTTATTCCTGGCCCTGCACTCAGGAATCACTCCTGGCCGTGCTTGGGAAAAGGTGGGAATTAAACCCGTGTTGGCCGCGTGCAAGGCAAACACCCTACCTGCTGTGCTATCACTTCAGCCCCCTGTCTTAGTTTTTATTATGGAAAGTTTCAGAAAGACTGAATATTAGTACAAAGAACACCCATAAATTCTACACTAGTATTGACAATTGTTACTATCTTAATTTTTTATTGAGCTATTCAGAATCTGCAAACATATTTTTGTTGCTATTCATATTCTGGGATAGTAGTAAAAAACATTTACAGATATATTTCTGAATATTTAAGACTACATCTAAGCAGAAAGTTTCATTGAGATGGAAGTGTTTAGTCATTATGGCAGGTCCTTGAATATTATTACTTCACTCAATGTCCTTTTGTTAAAATACTGAGGAGAGCGTGTAAAATATTGGCCACTTTGAACAAAACGATATTGACAGAGCACCTGGATTCATTCTAGACAGTAGTTTCACTTCAAGCTGTAGTTTCAAAGCATAGGTGGACCCCGAGTGCATTTTCAATGCATTGTAACCATTTTCACAGAAGAGTCGAGATTTTCAATAAGTTCTAACTTCAAAGGACCTACTCAGCTGCATCTCCCACGAGTCTCCACCACATATTCATGTCCCCAATCATAGAAAACAACTTGATTGTGCCAATTCATGGTCCATTCTTTCACTCCTCGCCTCGGCAGCCCACTTTTCTCTCTGTAAACAGGTCCTGATCTCTCTAAATTCTCATGGTACAAAACATCCTGATTTCCACAAAGTCCTGGCAAATGAAACTTGATGTAAGGGGCACCACTTGATTTCCCCAGAACTACTTCCAGAGCACATAGTATTTCTGCTCGAAGCAATGTGCTGCAACATTCCCAGGGTATGTATTCACTCTGCACTCTAGGATACAGGAAACTTCTCCCATCTGTATACTGATCACAGCAGTAGTTAGCAGAAGACACTCCATAAATCATTGTAAAATATTCGAGTTTTTTTAAAAAGCAATTTTGGATTTCAAGGAAAACTAAAGTTCTGAGAAAGCCTTGCTCACTTCTATCCAAATTCTTTCCTTGTAGATAGTCCAAATCTGACACTTGAAAAGCCAGATCAACTGCTTAGTTACTCAAGTTCAATTATCTAGAAGGCAATCTCTGAAAACTATAAAATGTATTTACCTTCTCATTATTGTAATAGGAAATGCTAAGGCCGTCAAATTTCACCCATCTCTTCTGAAACATCCGTTTTCTGGAAAACATAAAATTATTTTACATTTAACTACTATGAACTTAGATATTAGACATATATGCAATATAACAATTTTAAGTATATTTCCATTTTGATGAAACAGTACAGAAAACAATAGGCTATGACAACAGTTTGGCAATGGTACAAAAAAAACATAAACAGTATTTCTAATCAATTGTTTCATTATTTTTAAAACGAACATTGTTGAACAGAGTGACCCAGATTTGAAAGTTTGAGTAAAATCTCCAATGTGGCCAAGAACGCTACCAATGAAGTCATCTCCTTTCACTGAGCTGACCCCATAACAAAGACAAAACAAAATCTTTCAGTCCATGCGGAAAGCTCTTACAAACTTATCTTTTTCTACCTTCAGTTTTACTTTGGTACATGCATAGCATTTTATTAATGTGACAAAGCTGTCAACTGAATTTATATACATTATAAATTTTGAGCAAATACGATGAAAAGCTAATTGTAATATTGTAGCACTGCACTGTCCTCCCATTGTTCATCAATTTGCTCAAGTGGGCACCAGTAACATCTCACAATAAATCGTGAGGCTTGTTGTTACTGTTTTTGGCATATCGAATATGCCACGAGGAGCTTGCCAGGCCTGCTCTGCTGTGCAGGTGTGATACTTTCAGCAGCTTGCCGGGCTCTCTGAGAGGGACTCTCTGAGAGGAATCAAATCCGGGTCGGCCACGTGCAAGGTAAACACCCTATCAGCTGTGCTATCGCTCCAGCCCAATTGTAATACTATAAATGATTTATTATTAAATAATAATTATTATTTAAAATTACAGTTTCTTATTAAAACATTACAGTTTAGAGGCTGGGGAGATAGTTCAAATGACAGAGCACGTGCTTCACAGTGCAAGACCCTGAGCTCAGTTCCTGATCATACAGCCCTCCCCTAAGCCCCGAAAGAATACCACCAGGCCCCAGGACTGCCAGGTCTGATGTCAGGCACAGCTCTGACAGCCCCAAAGACCTCTGGTTTGAGCATCCTATGCCCTCAGGTCGAGCTACTGCAGGGTATAGTGCAGGCACTTCTACGTGCTGGCATGTATGCATACATATAATCATAAATATTTATTTTTAAGAAGAATGACAAAAACCAAATCGAGCATAAAATGGTTACAAAACAATGTAAAATTAATGCCATTATATTTATAGTTCAGTTTAAAAGAGAAAAACATTTCTGACTATGTAAAATTGAAGAAACATTTCTACTTGGACTTCTTATTTTCTTTCCCTCTCCTCCTTCCCTCAAATCAGACCATCCTAAAGGTTCTGGATATCTGATCTTATACACAGCTGTTTCACTTTAATATTACTCTTAATCTTTAACACATAATATATTAAACCTTACTTCCCATTTTAAAAGGATTTATAAAGAATCCTATCTACCTTTTTCTTGTGCAGTTTCACGACATATTTAAAGAATTGGTGCAATGTTCTGTTTGTGGTTTCTCAGAAGATTTAAGGACAGAAAAAGAAGTTGGGGAAGTATGAAGAACTTGTCTTCCAGCTACTTCCTAAGCAGCCCACATGATTACTCAAGTGAAATACAGTTACTCACCCTACATCCATTCCGTAATTTAGCCACAAAGCTGGAGCAAATTTTAGCAAGTTAAGAGTCGAAGTAGATCAGCAGAGACAGTAGTAGTCGAAGTAGATCCATGAACACAAAATTAAGCATGGACTAGTATGAACACATAAAAACCATCAATTGTGAAACCACAACTGGTTACCCAGCCCCTCTTCCATCTTATTTTCTCATCTACTTCTATCTTCTGGTCAAGAACATAAAATGTGTTCCTTGAATTTTGTAACAGTCAACTGTTGCAGACATCTGGTTTTCCTCTTTCACTGACACAAGAGGTATCCCACAATCAGAAGTTAAAGTAAAGTAAGTAAAGTAAAGGCCCTCCCGTTGATCATCGATTTGCTCAAGCGGGCCCAGTAACGTCTCCATTGGAGACTTTGTTGTTACTGTGTTTGGCATATCGAATACGTCACGGGGAGCTTGCCAGGCTCTGCCGTGCAGGCGAGATACTCTCGGTAGCTTGCCGGGCTCTCCGAGAGGGGCGGAGGAATTGAACTCGAGTCAGCATGTTGGCTGCGTGCAAGGCAAATGCTCTACCACTGTGCTATCGGCAAACAATACATATACGTTAAGGAAATAATAATTATATAGTGTACACACGCAGGTTGGCTTCTGTCACATTTACGGCAGGTAAATCACATCTTCCCACACAACAAAATTTTGTGCATCAAGATATGAAGGGGTGCATGAGCTTGGTAAAAGGAGTTCATGCTCTCTATATAGGGGGCCCAGATTCAGCCTCCAATACTTTATGGTTCCTGGAGCACCATCAGGAGCAACGTCTGATCACAGAACCAGGAGCAGCCCAGAATAACCACTAGCGGTGGCAAAAATATAAAAAAGGTTTTTGGGGATGCGCGAGGCAGGGAGGGGTTCTCACCTTTGTGATAATTTTGCATACATAATCATATAGCTTATTAATATCTTATATTTGGTCCTATAATTAAAATCATCTGAGGAGGTTTAGAGGGTTTAGGACTTTCTATCACCTCTCAAACCCCTCTGAGCACTACTTCTCTTTTGGAATGCCATCTAAGTCACCTACAGACATTCCTTCCCTGAAGAGCTAATCCAATGCTGATAACAGAATTAGTCCTTCTTAAAGCACCCTTTACTTTACTCATAACACTTGATACAATCTCTGATTGTATGAGATTGTGTCATACTAGCCCCTACTTAATGCCACACTAGCCCCTACTTTTTACAGGGACAAAGTCTGTAAAGAATGCTCCAACCTGTCACAGAAGGAGGATGAAGTAAAGAAGGAGGAGAATGATTTGCTGAATAAATAGTGACAAAGCTAAGCGCAGCTCCTTTCTGGGGCCAAGATGACAGGCAGACCAATAAACCTCAAATAACCATCTCTTACATAATCACTATCCTTTTACAGGAACGATGGCTGAAAGCAAGAAAGACTTTCGAAAAGTCAGACTTAAATTCCATTTCTACATCTGGCCGGGGGTTAAGTGAAAAGGAGTTAGACTCTACTTCCGTACGCCTCACTTAAAACTTCTCTGATACTTGGGCTTAATGTTTTATCAGAGGCCTTCTGCCATCTGGATAGACAGTTTGGGTTCTAAAATATTAACCGGAAGTTCGCAGAAAACTTGAGAATTGGATAGAGGGTAGGAAGACAGTTCGGGGAAGACGTCCCATCCAACTAGCACACGGCTTCTTTCAGTCACTGACGAGAAAGGTCTCACACACTCTGAGAAAGGTCCAGCAAAGGCTCATCTATGGCACACTCAGCTTCTCACTCAACCACTCCAATTCTTTCAACTACCAGGTGACCCATGAAATAGGTTTGCCCATTTTAATAAAATATTTTAATGCTTATTAAATCCAATCTTCACCGAGATATAGAAAAAAAACATGACAAATCCCTGCCCACAATGAAACAGAATAAGAGACTCCACATTGTAACAACTAGAAAAACAATTCTTCTGCAGCTGAAGAAAACAACTTTGCAATTCTACCATTAAAATGATTTCCACTACCATTCATTCCACCCTTTAATTTTAGAATCTGCAGTTCCCTACTCTGCAGGCAGTACTTCCCCTAGCCTTCCTGTTTTTCATTTTAGACCCTCTGTTGCCCCACTGCATTCTCACATGCCATTTTCTCTACTTAGAATGCTGCCTACGTGACAGGTTCCTTGTCTTTGAGATCACAGTTGTACAAGTCACTCACTCCAATACGGGAAAGACAGCACAGCACATAGGGAGCTTGCCTTGCTTGCAACACAGGTGTAATCCCTAACCCCACATATATTCTCCCAATGCCTGCCAGGGGTGACCCCTGAGCACAGAGCCATAAATAAGACACGAGCTCTGCCAGATGTGAGCCCCAAACAACATCGACTATACTGTGTAACTTGAAAGAGCAAGATCTTAAACTTTCTCCCACAGTTCTTTAAGGAGCTCAAGTACAAACCTGAAGTGCACATGGTTCCAAGTCTAACCTTCAGCACAGTATGTACTCCCATGCACTGCCATGTGTATTCTTAGAGTCCTGAACACCAAAGGTTGGCTCGGGCTTTTCCCATCACTGTTGATCCTGATGAGCACCACTTCATATGGCCCGAGCCTTAGACAACCCAGCTACACAATCAACCTAATCTCACCAGGAGTGGCAACAGGGGAACCTTCCATATTGCTCAGGAAATGTGAGCTCAAAAAAACCAAATTCATACCAAAAAAGCTTAACACTATATACTGAAAGATATACTAGATTATGTTGTGGTAACAGCTTCACAAGAAATTCAAGTACTGAAGCATTATGCTATATACCTAAAGCTAATACGATACTAATTATAATATAAAACCAAAGAAAGATATGGGAGAAAGCAAAGTAATATATACATAGATATTTATTTATATTTATTTATTTAAATGGATATTCCAGGTAATTCCTATTTAAACATAAAAACTAATTTTAAGATTTATGCATGTGCATGTATATACATTTATTTTGGGATTATACTCTGCTTTATACAAGATGTACTCCTGGCTCTGCACTCTCCCATATCTTTCTTTGGTTTTATGTTATAATTAGTATCTCCTGAGCTGCCAAACTTAAGAATCACCCCAATTCACTGCTCCTGGAGCACATTTGAGGCCGTGTGAACACCTCCAAGTTCCACAATAGAGACAGTCCAATAGGAGAACAGCAACTTAGATGGGAAAGTAGCACAAAGCCAATGAAGCTCAATAAATGAAATAAATAACACAGAAGGCTCAAAGAGCAACAAATTGCTCTCAGTAAATCCTTAGGTTATGACTTTAATACACCATTGTGAGATGTAACAATTTTTGCGATTTTCTTTTATGGAACTATCTTTTGATAATTCCACTTGCCATTTTGTTGCAAGCAATATAAAATTATTGTGTGC